GGTTGCTAAGCGAGGGGCTGGATGCCTACATGTCACGCATGTATAAAGGAGTTCAATGACGGCCAGGCTGGTATCTGAAGGTCATGCCATATGCACTAGTTGTGGCTAGCATGACAGGATGGATATATTTTCTCTCGCCCGTGATGAGGATGAGATGTAGGCAAAGGGAGAAGCTGGAAGGGAGATATGAGAGAAGCGAGGCTTTACCAATACCCAACGTGTGCTCATAACATTATAGTAGCTGCTCAGAGAGTGACTTTGGTTCTCTAATATACAAGCGATCTGTTTTTGCAGAAACTCGATGCTGATGATGTGGATGCTACGATTTTGATGCGACGTGCTCCTACCTATCTGCCTACTAACTATTCGTAGGGGCGATTTATCATGAACATACCTAGCGTTAGATGCTTGAGAAAGTAGACAGCGGGCTCCAGCGATTAGAAGGGCCTTGCTTCTGTAGATACTGGTATCTCTACGAGAAAGTTGAGCGTACGGCTAGCTCTTAGGTGCCTACCTGGCCACCTCCATCATACCTCGACTGCATTCATAACTTGATCCCTTATCCCTTATCTATTTGTGCAAGTAGGTGGGCATGAATAAGAGCAATCTTCTTATCTATGCGAATTTCTGTGTGAATTTCTTCATGAAATTCTTCCAAGACAGGCTGACAGGGAAAAGACAGGGAGGGGAACTAAATCTTGGCACTAACTACATGCATATACTTTTAGTACCGATTAGGTAAAGGTGCCCAAAGTGACAAAGGCTTTGTACCTACCCGACGAGCTGCATCACAGACTGAAACCTTCCGGCTTCCGTCTCCTTCAGTTTCCTATCGATTTCAACCCTCCACACTCAACACCCAACCTCGACGTCAGGATCATTTTACTCCCTGACCTTCGACATCGTTACCCCCAACACCTTTGCCTTCAGTTCCGCTGCCTCCCCTCTCACTTTACCCATACCCATCACAGCGGACGGCAGTAGAGTGTATTCATTCAATTAAGACAGCGAAATCTGACCGCAGTCATGGCGCATCGATCGCAAGATCACTACGTGCCATTGCCGCCTCCGCCGGCATCAAGTACCCTCCCCCCACGTCCCCCTTCACCTCAGCAGTCGCGTACATACTCAGATAGACTACCGCCGCCGCCGCCGCCGCAGCAGCAGCAACAGCAGCAGCGATGGGATGATGATACGCGGCGACGAGTTCCCGATGATCGCTTCAACCCCCGGGACAGTCCCCGGGACGATCGACGGGGCGATAATGGCTACCGTGGTCCTTTCTCCGACCTACGCCAATCATCTGCACGCGATTCCTACCCCCGCGCCCGCGATCATGACCGCAATCGCGGTCGAGACGGAGAACGTCGCGACGAATTCCGCCCACCTCAGGGCGCTTTCACTTTCCGCGCAGAAGGCCCTCCGGGGCTCAACGTCGATTCCTACCGTCCCAGTGCACAAGATGGTCGGGGCCCTGGTCCAGACCGGTATGATTCGTACCGCCCTTCCCCTGATTCCCGTCATCATACAGTTGCCCGCAGTGGTAATAGGTACTCGTTTGAGGAAAAATCTCCTAACCTAGACTCGCACATGCCTCATAGAGATAGATTCCCACGCCGCCAAGAGAACGGAAGATCGAATCGCGACCGCGATCGTCCTCCTCGTAATCACGACCGAAACCAGAATCGCGGCCGCGGCAACCAACGCTCCCGCCCCTTCCCGCAGCGCTTCGTGCAAAAAGCTGCCGATCGACTGCTTTTGCATAGTACGCATGACCAGGAGGCCGAGCTGATGTTGGGCGATACCACGGGCCGAGTGACCTACAGAGACCCCGCGGAACTGTCGGATAGTGACGAGGCAGCCATGGACATCTCTGACGAATCCGGCGGCGAAGACAACAGCGCCAGGGACAACGGCGAGCCTGCTGCCAAACGCGCGCGAACCATGTCGTCGGCCCCGGATCGCCCTCAAGAAGCCCCGAAGTGGTCAAATCCCGACCCTTACACCGCCCTTCCTCCACCCGACGAGACCACACGCAAGAAGCTCGATATGGTGCAGCTGATCCGCAAAGCCCGCGTGGAGGCTGAAGCCAAGAAGCCTGCTGTTGCTACTGAAGCTGATTTCATTTCCTGCGACCTCAGTGAGGATGAAGGTAATGGGAAGAACCCAGTAGTATCATCACGAGAGCCACGTTCACAACGATTTGCTGGCCGTGATACCCAGCGGCAGCAATCCCCCCAGAGACCAGGCATCAAGGAGAACCCGATTGATCTTACTGCTTCCGCCTCGCTAGGTAATCGTAAACGCACGTTTGATGATCAGATCAAATTGCCTCATGCTTCGCTCAAACCGGTCCGCCGCATGGCCTCTACCGGCACCATCGTTCCCGATTGGCAACCCGTCCAAAACGAGGATCCATGTCCCTGGGCCCAGACTGATCATTCTGCTACCCCTTCCATGGCTACACGGTCAGTTCACTCACCTGCCTTGATCTCTTGATTCTTCCCCCTCATTCCATTTTTCGGTACACAAGTCTAGAATACTAACCGCTAATATTTTCCTGCGACTTAGATTGCACAAGGAGATCATTGACTTCTATGAATACGTCCGACCGCGCGACTTTGAGGAACGGGTTCGCCAAGATTTGGTCGAGAACCTGAGAACTATCATCAAGAAGAAATGGCCTGATGCCGACTTGTACCCCTTCGGCTCCTTCATGTCAGGCCTCTACCTCCCTACTGCCGATATGGACATTGCTATTTGTTCATATCGTTTCGTCGAGACTGGGAGGCCTGTGTATTCAGCTAAGAGCAACCTGTTCGCTCTGCGCGCTTGGCTTACTAGTCATCGGGTTGCCTACCGGAACGAGATCGAGCTTATCACCAGAGCTAAGGTTCCTCTCGTCAAGTATGCAGATGGAGCAACCGCTTTGAAGGTCGACATCTCCATCGAGAAACTCGATGGTCACAATGCTATCCAGACCTTCCTTGACTGGAAGACCAAGTATCCTGCCATGCCTATCTTAGTCTCTGTCATCAAGCATTTTCTGCTCATGAGAGGGCTGAACGAACCAGTCAATGGCGGGATCGGAGGCTTCAGTGTCATCTGCTTAGTGGTTCATCTGCTGAACAGCTTACCACAGGTCCAGAGCGGCTCCATGGTGCCCGAGCACCACCTCGGCGAGCTACTCATGGAGTTCTTCGATTACTATGGCAACAAGTTCAACTACCAGATGGTTGCTATCCGCATGAACCCCCCGGGTCTAGTCAACAAGAACGACGTCAGCAACGTTGTGTACCGTAACCGTGATAGGCTGTCTATTCTCGACCCGAATAACCCGGAGAACGATATCTCTGGGGGCTCCGCCAATACGGCTACCATATTGAAGCATTTCTCGCAGGCTTACGCTGTCCTCAAAGAGCGGATGTCGACACTCGCGGGCAGAAATGGATTGCTGCTAGAACCTATCTTTGAAGGCAAATACTCTAATTTCCAAGTCCAGCGAGATTACTTGCAACGGCTAGCTTCCCAAGGTAGTCTGAAGTCGCAGAAGAGCAAACACTACTGAGTCTTCCAGTAGGAGACTTAGCAAGGACCCCAGAGACTTAGATCGGTTTTCACCGACCGTAGTAAGGATTTGAGCTTGCCACAGCGCGAGCATTTGACGGAATCCGGACCCTATAGAGCAGGACAAGGCGTTTTTCGACGGCGCCTCTACGGACTTGATGGGATAACGGCGCTGCGGTCTCGGATTCAAAAGAGCTTCGGACATGCGGACTTACGGATTCTCGAGGCCTATATTTGATACCCCCTCTCGCTTGTATTTTGTTTTTCCGTCCCCATCTTACGTTTTCTCTATTTTGAGACCTGCTTATGAGGGCAATTTGTAGTGTAGTATGGGGAGATGTGACTTCGACCATGGTCCCATGTCGGCATCCAACGCTCCCCAGGTATTTCGCCTGGGAGACGGACAGGAACACTCCTTGCTTCGATGGACGGGTGCACATGTCCATGGAGCATCTTTCATAGCCTACGTATTGCCAAGTGGCTACAGAAAACAGTGAATCATAGCTGGAACATTTCTTTGCAGCCGCTTTTCTTCGACCGACGCCTTCTAGTGAGGGGTTGCCCTCGCCCCGTGACTACCAACCAAAGCAAGCCCTACCAATCCTGCCAGAATGGGCGAGTTCAGGGAGTACCATGAATACTCAACTACGTTAACGCAATACAGGTCACCTACTCTACCCCCTTGGAGATGCACTGACAAGGGCCTAACCCCGGCCATAACTGGGTACCACCAGGACTTGACATGACTAAACTGGGGGTTCTTTCGTATCCGGCAGTCGCTGGACGAAGGAGCCAACCAGACAACAGGCGGATGGGGCTCGCATTGTGCGTCGCGCAACGGAGAAAGACAACGCTGATGATGATACAAGATGTAAGATGCAAGATGCAAGATGCAAGATGCAAGATGCAAGATGCTGTCCTTTTCCGCCAGGTGTTTTCAAACACCACCCTTTTCTCACTGGATGCGGAGCTTGCGCGCTTGGCTCTAGGGAGGAAGGACTGCGTAGTAGGGGGGACAACCTGTTTGCTGCGTGCGTCGTGATGGGATAAGATAGGATGATATGAGATGGGGTTGGGCTGTGTTGGATTCTTGGGTGATACGATACGTTCAGCAGAGGTAAAGCAAAGCAGCAAGCAAGCAGCAAGCAATCTAGATGATTACGTCTCGAGTGCTCTTAAGAGACCCTCCGTGTCATCACGTAGACCAGTCAGTCCCGTTGCCCAACACACAAACATGAACTGCGCCATCTTCCTGAGCTACCTAGGAGCAGTTTATGGAGCCAGTATAGTAACCAGGTAAGTAGTACGTAGTTTTGGGTAGACTTATACATAGTAAGTACTTGGGTAGAGTAGACTTGTAGCAGTAGCCCGGCAGACACAATGTGGTGGGGTCATTCGTATACTCTAACAACTCGAGAATTTATTCAATGTGGGGCACGATGGCTGAGCGGTTAAAGCGTCAGACTAGAATGCTGAGAAAGTAGAATGACGATTCACGATTCTACATTTCTCTTCGATATCATCTGATACCTTCGGGTGCGTAGGTTCGAATCCTGCTCGTGTCGATTATCTTTTTTTCTTTCTTCTCATTCTTTTTGGTGCTTTGCACAACCATCAATTTGGGTGGCTACTTTGGTGATAGAGCGAAGCTACCCTTGCTTATCTTGTCACTTATTGTACTTAAGCCCAACTCTCCTCCAACTTCCCTCTCGTTCCCCAACTTACGGTCGGCCACACCTATTAGAAAAACAAGTAAAGTCGCAGTTAACCCTGTGGCTACCCATACCAACCCCCCCAACTCCCCCTCTTGTCGCAGCCATGGAAACATACATGAAGGCATGCAGTTACACATACTCAACCAATCCATTTACCTATCTATATATATCTTGTCCTTTATGGATATGTTTGCTGATGGGGGTTGGGACTAGCTAGGCTGGAACGTGGATGGTATTATTAATTAGGTATTATTGCAATTTTCCGGTACCACTAAAAGGGGCTTACATGAGTTTCATTATGTTCAGTCCGAATGGCTTCCAGGTTACTTACTACCTACCCCCTGCAGATGAACTCGTAGTCGAGAGACGTCAATGGTGGGACTAGATTCGCTAAGAGGGCGAGAAACAAAGAACGTATCTGCCTACTGCCTATAGCTACTATCCAGGTCTTCTTTCCGTTGTTGCACCGATCGCCAGTTACCCCAACCCAAGTAACAACTGGTTAATCGTCCAACAAAGAACGAATCTGGCAATGCACTTCATATCACTCTCCGCTCCACGGAAACCTAGAGAGGTAGATAGATGCAATACACAGGTTACACATGGAAGAGCAAGCAAGCTATAATGTGACTCATGCTTGTCCTCCAGTTGGTTGTTGCATGTCTGTCTCTCGCCAACTGGTTAGAGCTCTCCTTTGTTCCTCGACCATTCCAGAAGTGTTCACGAGGTGTATTAAAGCTGTAGAGCTGTAGAGCTACCAGGCAGCTACGAAGCTCATAGCATGGCGATGGAAATATATTTTTCATTCCTTATTCCCTGTACGTAGAAGAAGCAAGCTACTACGCGTTTTAGGATATAGCTATCGAAGCCCCCCCGGTTTGTGATACAAACCATCCATCCATCCAATTACGCATATCCCCTTACCATTCGAGCAGCCGCATACCAGCGCAGTGTTGGCCATCCCCTATAGTTTGATTGAAGGACGGTTGGAGCCCCTGAACGCCGCCCATCCCAGGAGAGCCCAACTGCCAACGATCGAAGATGTCTACGGGCAACAGATCGAGAGCAGCGGATGCCCCCGACCTCAGGCCCCTCCCCTTCGCATTCGATAGAAACAGCCCGACATACCTACCGAGCCTGAAAGACGAGGAGTACGGCGATATCGTAGCCACACTCAAGGCATTGGCCAAGGGGAAATTCCCCCGTCAGGTAGGTTCACCAACAAGCATCCCGAGCCCACGCCCGTCTCCCACCCCCTACTTTCTCACAATGGTTACTTGAACCCCTTGGCCAGCCCCTCAGAACATCGCGAAGACAACATTTGTCAACGTTAGCTGTAGCATCCTCTTCCCGGTGCCCAGTTATCCAGAGAAGAGAAGAAGACGTGCGGTAGTAGCTTGGAACACAGGCAACGTCGACGAAAGAAAAGCTGGCTGACCCCCCGAAAAAACAAACGTATAGGACTCCGTGCCCACCGCCCTCAACGCGTACAACTGCACGCAGCCCAACAAGCCGTGGGTGTACTTCCACCCCATCAAGCCGCTCGAGGTGGTCCGGCGGCGGGGCGGCAGACCGACGGACGCCCCCGTCCTGAAGGAGGCCCCCGACGTCCGGCTGCCCGCGGCCCTGCGCGCCGACCTCAACAAGCCGTGGGTCTCGATCCGGCTCTACCAGGACTACAAGGCCCCTCTGCAAGAACGCAAGCTCCCCCGCACCCCCCACCCCTGCAGCACCAGCACCAGCACCAACAGCCGCATTGGCACTACAAGAAGTAACACGAACACTGACACTGCTAACACTTACACCGCCTGCGGTGAGCGACACCAACCAGGCAACCCGAACCGAAACGCCGCGAGGCATCAACGATCCGGAAGCCCGGGTTCCGGTTCCGGGTCTCGGTCGAGGCCAGCCGGCTGGACGCACCGGGAAGGGCGGGCGCGGTACCGGTACGTGTGCTACATCCACGAGCACAAGGTGTCGCTGCGGCCCGGTTCGCGGCGGTCCGTGTACACCATCAGCGTCTGGGACCGGGAGTGGAACGAGCTGACGTGGCACGACGCGTACCCGGTGGGGCGCGCCGCGCGCCGCGCCGAGGCCCGCCTGTTCTGGGACCGCGCCGCCGCCCAGCCCGGGTTCCCGCTGTTCCCACGGGCCGTCGTGGCCGTCAGCGGCATGGCGCTGGGAGGTAGCGGAGGAGGGGGAGGGGCGGGAGGGGTAGGAGGGAGGGATGATAACCCCCGCAGGACCTTCGTCGATCGCATCCGCGTCCGCGACAGGCACTACCGCGCCGCGGAGAGGCTCGGCGCCGCGATGCGCGATCACCCGCCGCCGCGGTTCACGCTGGTGAGTGAAAAGGGGGGGGGGGGGGGGGGGGGGGGGGGGGGGGGGGG